CCCTAGTCATCCTTTGGGTCTGGAACTGAACTCACTCCCATGGCTTAACTTTCAGCCAAACAATAGACAGGCCTACAAGGTGAACAATTACACCAGGTAAGTACACTCCTTAGAACAATCAACCATGGAAGGTCAGAAGGGCAGTTTTTGGGCAAGGAGAAAGCTCAGAAGGCAGGAATGCAGAGGAAGGAAGGACACAGTGAAAAGGTTAACCAAAGGGAGAAAGTGGGAAGAGAGCTATTACATTGTGGGGCTTGCAATCAATGTGACAAAATAAAGCATGTATAAACTATTGAATAAAAAATGAATTTGTTCTGTAAACCATCACCCAAATCACAATTAAAAAAAAAAAAAAAACTTTCACCCAAATTACAATAATTCAAAAACAAAGAGGCAAAAGGAGTTTTTCCTTCATAGAGATCAAACAAGGCAGGGGAAAAATCAAGTGTGTATTAATGGAAGAAGGGTGAGGGGATCAGATCCTTAATCAGAGGTTTTACACTGAGGCCAGCCTATTCTCCAGGAGAGGCCATTAACCAGGGGTTGTATGTTGGCTCAGGTTGAGGGTGGGCCAAAGTCCAGGGACTTGGAAGGAGGAGAGAAGTTTAACCAAAGTTTGCAACCACTTCATTTCTATTTGATCAGTGGAGAATTTGGAGGGTGTGTTTGGTTTGGGAGCTCTGGTGGTGCAGTACCTAAGGCATCTGACTGCTAACCAGAAGGCTGCCAGTTCAAAGTCCCTAGCCACTCTGCAGGATGACCAGGCAGTCTACTTCTGTAAAGATTTACCGCCTTGGAAACCCAACAGGGGTCACTATGAGTCGGAATTGACTTGATGGCAGTGGGTTTGGTTTGGTGTTTGGTCTGGCACCATGGTGGCACAGTGGTTAACTCATCATCGAAAGGTTGGTAGTTGGAATCCACCAGCCTCTCTGCAGGAGAAAGGCGTAGCAGTCTGTTTCTGTAAAAATATACAGCCCTGGAAACATTATGACGCAGTTCTAGTCTGTCATATTGGGTCACTATCAGTTGGAGTGGACTCAACAGCAATGGGTTTGGTTTTGGGGGTCTGGCCTTGTCCAAGGTAAACAAGAGAGCATGTATGAGTTTATCCAAGTCATATGAGGAAGACACGTTACTTGCAGTAAGCCACTGTGGAACATAAAGAATGGGGGAATTTCTTTAGCTATCGCTGTTTTCCAGAATTACAGGATTCACATAAAATTCAACACTGTCAATAGTAAGAGTAACAATAAATCATATAGTAATTCTACAACAAAAAAGCTATGTAAACATTGGAAGGCCAGGAGGAAGTGAAAGAGTATGAATACGGACTTCAAGCAAACTTTCATCTTCCAGAGGATGATTTCTGAAATAACAAATGATAAGTATATTACCTAGAAACATGAAGGTAAAAAGCAAAACTAAGAATCTCTACTAATGCTAGTATTTCAAAGCCAAACACAAACAAATGAGCATGGCTATGTTCCAATAAAATTTTATTTATAGCAAATGAAATTTACATTTCATGTAATTTTCATACAACACAAAATATTCTTTAGATTTTTTCCCAACTGTATGGCTAACATGAGCACTGGTTGCACAGCAGTTAAAACACAGTTATTGAGTGTATCCAAGATCATATATGGGGTTGGCAGACAATGGGCCTATAAGTTCATGTGAATGATGTAGGAGATCCTACATAAAGAGGGAGAACAAAGTGGTACAAAAC